TTATTTCAAAGTAAAACACGAGTTTTCTCATGTTAATGTATCTGAACAATATCTCACTCGAATGTCTAGGACAAAGAATCCATTCATACAGAAATATACATAACGATAATACCGTTAAGAAAGAAATTACAAACAAACATAAATTAAGAGGTTTAACGAGGAAAAATAAGATTGTACGGAAATACATTTTATCAAATTGTTTAAGTGTTCCCTCGTTATTTTCTTGCTATCTTCAGAGAAACGGGAGATACGATTCGACCCAATTACAGGACGCACCCTGCGTATTTTTGTATCACGCCCATCTTATTATACGTTCCAAACGGAATGCACTGTGTTTACTGACACATATTTCTCGGTACCTACGAGGTGTGAACAAAAAACTATGTATAACACTTGTTATAAAGACACGCAATATTTAATAAATGGAAAAACTCGTTGTATAATGTGCTTAGCTGTTCCGTGAAACAGAGAGAAATTATGTTGAATTTCTTTATGAATATGTTTTTTTAATTTTCAAAATTTTAGCTTTGCAATTTTTTTTTATTTTTTATTTTTAGAAATAGATAATTTAACAGATTTTTGAATTCCTTAAATTTCTAAATAATTACATTTTCAAATTTCTAAATTCCTCAATTACGAAATTACCAAATTCCCCAATTTTCAAATATCCCAAATTCCAAATTCCCCAATTACAAATTTTCCAATTTCCAAATTCCCCAATTACCAAATTCCCCAATTACCAAATTCCCCAATTCCCAAATTCCCCAAATCCCAAATTCCCCAAATCCCAAATTCCCCAAATCCCAACTTGCAAATTCCCCAACTTCCAAATTCCCCAATTACCAAATTCCCCAAATCCCGAATTCCCCAAATCCCAAATTCCCCAAATCCCAAATTCCCCAAATCCCAAATTCCCCAAATCCCAAATTCCCCAAATCCCAAATTCCCCAAATCCCAAATTCCCCAAATCCCAAATTCCCCAAATCCCAAATTCCCCAAATCCCAAATTCCCCAAATCCCAAATTCCCCAAATCCCAAATTCCCCAAATCCCAAATTCCCCAAATCCCAAATTCCCCAAATCCCAAATTCCCCAAATCCCAAATTCCCCAAATCCCAAATTCCCCAAATCCCAAATTCCCCAAATCCCAAATTCCCCAAATCCCAAATTCCCCAAATCCCAAATTCCCCAAATCCCAAATTCCCCAAATCCCAAATTCCCCAAATCCCAAATTCCCCAAATCCCAAATTCCCCAAATCCCAAATTCCCCAAATCCCAAATTCCCCAAATCCCAAATTCCCCAAATCCCAAATTCCCCAAATCCCAAATTCCCCAAATCCCAAATTCCCCTAATCTCAACTTGCAAATTCCCCAAATTCCCCAATTACCAAATTCCCCAAATCCCGAATTCCCCAAATTCTAAATTCTCCAGTCACCAAATCCCTAAATTCCCTAAGTACCAAATCCCTTAATTCCTAATTAGAAAATCCCCAAATTTCCTAGATAACAATCCATAAATTCTCCAGTCACGAAATCCCCAAATTCCCTAGGTACCAATCCCTAAATTCTCCAGTCACCAAATCCCCAAATTCCCTAGGTACCAATCCCTAAATTCTCCAGTCACCAAATCCCCAAATTCCCTAGGTACCAATCCCTAAATTCTCCAGTCACCAAATCCCCAAATTCCCTAGGTACCAATCCCTAAATTCTCCAGTCACCAAATCCCCAAATTCCCTAGGTACCAATCCCTAAATTCTCCAGTCACCAAATCCCCAAATTCCCTAGGTACCAATCCCTAAATTCTCCAGTCACCAAATCCCCAAATTCCCTAGGTACCAATCCCTAAATTCTCCAGTCACCAAATCCCCAAATTCCCTAGGTACCAATCCCTAAATTCTCCAGTCACCAAATCCCCAAATTCCCTAGGTACCAATCCCTAAATTCTCCAGTCACCAAATCCCCAAATTCCCTAGGTACCAATCCCTAAATTCTCCAGTCACCAAATCCCCAAATTCCCTAGGTACCAATCCCTAAATTCTCCAGTCACCAAATCCCCAAATTTCCTAGTTACCAAATCCCTTAATTCCCCAATTACCAAATCTCCTAATTCCCTAGGTACCAAATATCCCCAAATTTAAGAATTAAATATTTGAGAATTGAAAAATTGAAAATTGAAAATTTGAGAATTGAACACTGGAAAATTGAACACCTGAGATTTGAAACATTCAAAATTAAAAATGTAAAAATTAGAAATCTAAATACTAAAAATTTGAGAGTTGAATATTTGAAAATTGAAATGGTACTACATTGTTATTTTACTATTGCATTAATTTCCACTATACCACCATTTTACTATTCCATTAAATTAAAAAATTTGTTAAGAAAATTCTCTCGAAATTCGTGTCAACTTTCATCTCGATGAAGTATTAATTTATTTTTCGATTTCACTTCAATCCGAAAGCAAATGTGCACAACTAGTAGGTTTAGCGTTAAACAATCCACTCGAACGATCAAACAAATCGATAGCTCTGTACGACCAAAAATCACATAATACGATTACCCTCGCGATGTAATCGTTCAGTTATTAAGGGATTCCGGTTTTCGATTCTCGGTTGAAAGGTGGTATTACAGAACGAGCAAGTCAGCAGATGTACCGTTAAGCGATTACTATGCCACTGCACTGCCAACTGGAATGTGGGTGGAAAGCATTCGTCCCTGCTCTATTGTCTTTTTCTCTTCTCGTGTGCCTAGAAGTGCCGAGCAATCTCTTCATCTTTCACTTTTTTCCGCGTGCTTAAACGTCCCTTCTTTTTCTAGCAGACACACGTCCTTGTCCGTTACTCTTTCGTCTTGTTTCTCGTTTATTTTTAACGGGAGATCTCAGCGTTATGCCTCGAAAATGCGGCAGCCTCGTGGGAATTTTTTTACCGTGAATAGCAGCGTTTAGAAGTACGGTACTTAAACTCGCGTTTTTAATCGTTCGGGATAAGCGTTGGGAGAAAATTGTTATGGCCACTTTGAAATTCATGGATGCGTGTTTAGTATTCTCTTAGAACCGCATGAACGTGGGTATTATAAATTTCGTAAATGTAGAAATTTTTATTTTTGTAAACCTGCATATTATAAATTTTAATTTCTGAAACCGGAAATATAAATTCTAATTTTTGTGACTGCAGGCACTATCAATTTTAATTTACAATTTTAACAATTAAATTAAGCACTAAATTTTTGAAGGATCAAATAAACTAAATATTAAATTTGTAAATAATTGAATATTGAATTATATATTACTTCGTAAATAATTGAATGTTAAACTGAATATTAAATTTTTAATTTTAATTATTAATTTTTTGTTATGTAACAATTATTCTAAAATAAAAATTAACTCCATACTCAGTTATGTAGAAAAATAAGAATATATCATAATATTTATCGTTTAAAAATTATATGTATTATATTATTATTATGTTACAAAAATAATTTTTATTATAGACAAAAAAATTATCTATAAAAGCCATATGTACATATAGTAAGAATGATATATTAACAACATAATGCAGTAAAAAGTTAATCCTTTTAATGGATCACCTTTTCAATATATGCACGTGTTAAAATGTTTCCGCTAATATGCAACGCAACTAATCAATTAGACACGCTCAAGGAAATTGACGGAAAACGTCAGATCACTAGTCTCTAACTTTCTACAAGATACCATCACCTAAATTCCTGAAAGTAACGTTTTACCAGCAACGCTTCACGAACTATATTTACGACAGCAAAAATGATTTAACCGTGTTCCATAACTTTTCTGCCTTCGCCTCTCCTATCTAGTTATTTTTCACGCTCGAACTTTTACTGGCACTCAACAAAGTTAAATCTGCATACTTCTTTAATACCTTAGAAGCAACTTTGAATTATAGGATGTCCATCTTTAGCGTTTAATTTAATTTTGATAATTTGATTTTAAACTGCATGATGTGAAAATTGTAATGATTAATATTGTTGCAATTCTATATAGCGAAATGACCTTTTGATATCTAACGTTTTGAATTTGTAGTTTCGAATACAAAATATATTTGTCTTATATTTACAATGACAAAACGTTGCTAACTTTTTTTATTTTTAGTTCTTTCTTTACACAACTTTTTTTATTTTTAGTTCTTTCTTTACACAACTTTTTTTACCATATTCGTGACATTTTTCTGATTAAAATGACACCAAACACGACGTAATTCGGGGCATATTTACTTGTAATAACTTACAGAAGTAAAATCCTCGAAATCATAAAACCATAGATTACGATTACGACTGTCAGACGTATCACGTGATTATCCGAATACCATCGAAGAAAAACGGAATTACCCGAGGTGTCATTACTCGCCCGCGTACCGCGAATCTTACTACACTAAAGCTTCGATATTAACAGAACGCTTGAAAATACAGTTAAATATATTTCGAAATACGTCGTGTGTGGGCTCAATTTAATCAGCAAAATGTCACAAATATATGGGTAAGAAATTTCATAACAAAAATATTAAAAATAAAAAAGTTCTTGCACTAAAATTGTTCCAACGATATGCTACTGTTTGTTTACGTTCTGTCATCTTTCACGCTCACTGTTCTTTTTTACGTTCGGCAAACTTCGGTCAATGACGGAACTACACGAAAGTTCAGTCTCCAAATATTCGTTTATATCGAGACTTTATACAGATTTTTGAAAAGTAATATAATTAATTGACACAATAATCTGTCAAAACCTATTGTAAAAAAGAAATATAAAAACAACTTGAAGTCGTAACAAACATAACCTTAAAGATTAATTTCTGTTTACCATAATATTTACTCGACGAGTCAGTTTAACCTTTTGACAATTTCGCGTACCATTAATAGCATAAATATCGCCTTATAGCGAAATACGATCGACTTTGGCGACACACGTGTTACAAATAATGATATTTCTATAATAAAATCGAAGTTTTGAATAAACAATGAAGGACTCACCATGTTCTGATGAAAACGCAAACTGCCGGACCGTCGAAGAGTACCACCACGAATATTCGCTGCTGCAAGTTCGACCTGACGACCGTCGCTACCACCTCGTCTCGACAATTCCGACAATTCTGCAACCGGTTGCACCTGCAAACATGAAAATATCCACCATGATTATTCGTATTTTTCTCACGAGCTTTCGAGTATAAAATTACAAAGTTACGGTGGAAAACACGCAATTCGCGAAACGTATACGACCGCCCGTATCGATACTGAACAGCGATTGTAAACAGCCATCGCATATACTTGAAATTGATTAAATTTCGATACACGAGATTTAATTGAATATCTGATTGTTGCATACCAAATGACGGGGTTTGAAAATGTAATCCACGGTAATCCGGTGATACTAAAGTTCCGTAAACATATAGCAGTATTAGTATACACATTTAGGTTGAACGGTCGAGAGATCCTTAACGCAATTTTAACAGGAATTTATTTAATCAACATTTGAGAACCTTTGCAATTATATTTAGGTATGTTCGTAGCAACAATTTGAATTTTTGTTATAATTTTATGCTGTTTAGGTAACATTAGAAATCTGTACATCGGATTTTACTGACTTTCAAATTTGCAAATTCTAAAAAATTTCTAATGCGTTTAAATTCCCCAGATTTTCAAATTATAAGATTTCAAAATTCCCCAGATTCCCAAATCTCAAAGGTTTCTAAATTCCCCAAATTTCAAGAAGACTAAAATCCCCAGATTTCAAGAGTACAAAATTCCCTAAATTCCTCGATTTTCAAAATTCCCCAGATTCTTAAATCTCAGTTTCTAAATTCCCCAAATTTCAAAAGTATTGAATTTTATAAATTCTGAAATTGTAACATTTCCAAATTCCCCAGATTCTGAAATTGTAAAATTTCCAAATTTCCCACATTTTCAAATTGTAAGATTTCAAAATTCCCCAGATTCTCAAATTGTAAGATTTCAAGATTCCCCAGATTTTCAAATTGTAAGATTTCAAAATTCCCCAGATTCCCAAATCTCAAAGGTTTCTAATTTCCCCAAATTCCTAAATTTCAAAATTTCTAAATTCCCTAAATTTTCCGAATTCCCCAGATTCTCAAATGTTAAGGTTTCTAAATTTTCCAAATCCCCAAATTGGAAAAGTATTAAATTCCCCAAATTTTCAAATTGTAAGATTTCGAATTTCCCCAGATTCCTCCGAATTCCCTAACTGTCAAAATTTGTAACTTTTGTAAATTCCCTAAATTCTTAAATCCCCAAATTGTAACTTTTCCAAATTCCCCAAAATTCCAAAATCTCCAAATTCGCCAAATTCTCACATCACCAAATTTCCAAATCCCCAAATTCAAAAATATATTACACAAATACCAACACATGTATCGAGATCCCATTCTCCTTCCCCCACGCCGCCATTTTTCCCCAGAAAAGTCTCCCACGCTCCCCGACATACAGCAACGAGTCATCGAAACGCCGATATAAGAGCTAACTGTAAAACACTCGGACACGAACGTACGCATTTTCAATAGTAATCAACTAAATAACGGACGAAGAGTATGGCAGTACATCTAGTTTCTATGCGCGTGCATACGTTCGAGAAAATTAAGGCGGGCCCCATAATAACGATCAGGGTACAGGAAACAGGATGTTGACCGAGAAAACACCTGCGAACGGTACCTAACGCTGCATAAGTATGTAAATCACGTTAGGTTGTTTCTGCTATGCCTAGACATCATAACTGTTACACGAAAAATTTGAATGTTTGCGGTTAAATAAATCTCTAGTTATCGATAACGATTGGTTACTGGATAATAAATGAGGATATATGTTGACTGATGGGGTGGCAATATTCGATTTCCGGTGTCGATAATTGTTATTAATGGTCGGGGAAAATTATGTCATTGATAATTAATGGTCGACAATAATCATAGTAATTTATAACTGTTATTAATGATAATGAAAATTAATGTATTTTAATCTTGTTGAAAAATATAATATATATTGAACAAACAAATAAAATTATAAAATATATTTTTTAATTAATTTTGTCTAAAATATTTGTTGTAAATATTAATTTATATTAATGTATTTTAATCTTGTTAAAAAATATAATGTAATGAACATAAAAATAAAATAATAAAATATATTTTTTAATTAATAATAATTTAATAAAAAATATTTGTTATAAATATTAATTTATATTAATTTATTTTAATTTTAATAAAAAATATATATTTTCATTGTGTTAATTATAGATATATTTTAATCCTATCAAAAAATCACATATTCCAATCCTGGCAAAAAATAATCATATTTTTATAATCATAATATAAATAAATTAATTATATTAATACATAATCATCACATTTTGAAAAATATCTTTAAGATTTTATTTACAGTGGCTTCCATATATATAAGAAAAATTCTTTATCGAAAGACTATTTGTACAAAAGAGTTTCTTTTCCTCAAAAGAAGTTTTCTTTTTCTTCGTTCGTAAAGAAAGAGAACCAGGGCATGAACCTGCACAAGACGCCTGCAACACTAATCGATACATCCTCTTGTTAAGCCTACAGCCCGAATTGGAAATGTTCCAAAGAAGAACCTAAACGAACCCGTACACTTTGTTCTTATATGTACAGCGGTGTTACACAACAGAGTTGTGGTAATATCTTTCTTATTTTAACCTGAGTCAATAACCGAGTATCCGGATGCAATGATCTCCGGTGTATTTATTTTTATCGAACTTCAAACATCGTACTACCGTCTGGTATACTGAGAAAACTATTTATTACTTTTTTGGTAGGAATGTTTTAGCGAGTGTGGTAAAACATCTATATCTGTTCAAATGCTAATTTAGGAGTTTGAAAGTTGGGTAATTTAATTTTGTAATTTTAAAATTTTGAAAATTCAAAATTGAACCTTTAAGAGGAAAAATTTTAAAAATTGAAAATTTAAATATTTGAAAAAGTTGTAAAATATGAACAATGAACAATGATCTCAAATTTTCCATTTTTCAAATTCCAAGTCCTTAAGTCCCCAAGTTCACAATTTTTCAAATTCTAAAATCCTAAAATACTAAAAACCCAAATTTCAAAATCCCCAGATCCCAAAACCCCCAATTCCCCAATTACAAAATCCCCAAATTTGAAAATTCTCCAATTCCGAAATTCCCAAATTCCCAAATCCCCAGATCCCAAAATTCCTCAATTCCAAAATCCCCAAATGTCAAAATTCTCCAATTCCAAAATTCCCAAATTCCAAAATCCTCAAATTTCAAAACCCCAAATGTCAAAATTCTCCAATTCCAAAATCCCCAAATGTCAAAATTCTCCAATTCCAAAACGCCCCAATTCCAAAATTCCCAAATTCCAAAATCCCCAGATCTCAAAATTCCCCAATTCCAAAATTCCCAAATCCCCGAATCCTAAATTCCAAAATCCCAAAGTTCCCAAATCTCAAAATCCCCTAATCCCCAAATCCCCAAATCCCAAATCCCCGAATCTACAACTTCCTAAATTGCAAATATTTATATTCGCACGCCACTGTATTTCAAAACGCATAATCGTCTACGTCTCCAAATTTGAAATGTATACAACGAAAAAAAAAGACAGGTTTAAATATGAATCATTTCCGGCCCGATTCGCAACAGACATGTGCGCCAATGCATAGAGCAACCGGATTATACTCTTTGGTCCCCTTTTAACGAATGTATTTATATTCATAACACACAAGAGAAGGAGAATAAAGCGAACGAATACGACACGCTCGTATTTTCAATTCTTGCAACACGAGCGTCCTGACATTTTTGGCATTCCATTGCTATGCCGCAAGGTCAAACGTCTTTCCCCTGCAGCTCGCTACAACTTATGCTGTTTTTACACTTTCGCACTCTTACGATCTAACATTATGTTCAATAAATATATAACCGGTGTCATTTTATTAATACATACTTTGTATGTTGATGTACGTTTAATACTAATTCAATTTTTATTAACGTATAACGTAAATCAGACTGTCACTTGAAAATATATATTTTTGATATGTAAAATATTTATTTGCATAAATATATCAATTGCATTATATATTAATAATTAATATACAATGTATATTACATTAGAAAAATTATAATTATACATAAAAATTAAATAATAAAATTATATAATAATTTTGACACATATTTTTAAATATAAAATATATCAGGTATATTAAAATATAAATCAGATGTACTAATTATGAAATCTTTATAAAAAAGCATGTCCGTAATACGGTGCCATAATTATTCAATTATTTACCGCGAAACGACAGTGTTCGAAAGAAAATTGTGACGTTTCGCAAAAGCTAGGTTAGAGCGACGTTCAAATCACTGTAACCGGGGGGCACCTAAACGTAAACGGACCCCGAAATATGTCAACGACAAATGAATGTTCCCCGTAATACAGACAAAAATATCTTTTTTTCATTAAACACATCGCGAAGATTAAATATCTTTTACTTAAAATTATAATAATATAATTGTTCATTAAAAAGTATTGGAATAATGTGATCTATAAGTGTTCATAAAGCGTGCATTAGTACAACAAAACCGTCAACTAGTGGCGCTTCATTGATTCGCTACTAAATTCGCAATTATTGTACACTCTACTTTGTTCCACTATTCAAATGAGTTTCTACGTATCAAAATGTTACAACACGTGTTACAGTTTTAAAGGAGTTTGTCTTTAATACGTAAAGCAGTTATTCATCCTTAAGTGTTATTCTTATTATCCTTAAATACTATTTAACCCATTCACTGTCAACTACGACATATTTCGTAGTAAGCGTCTGTACTAAAACCGCCAACTACGAAATATCACGCTGTGTTTTTTTTTTTACTGTAAATCCAATTTACTACTATATTTACATCTAAATATTATTACATTTTATAAATCTATGTTATGTATTATACCTTATAAAATCTATATTTTCCTTAAAATAAAATGTGCAACGTAAAACGCCTTAAATTTGACAGGTAGTGAATAGGTTAAGTGAAGTGTTTCTGTGAATCATTCCTATCATAAAAGTACTGTTCAATAAACATCGATTTTGAAGAATGTAACATACATGTGGTATTTTTCAATTAATATACGATTGTCTCTCGAGGACGTACTTGTGTCATTCTCTAAAAAGCGAAAGATGTCGTCAGACTTGATAGATTATGATTGTTGTGGCGGTAAAAGTGAGAGCGTTCACAGGTATGCATAGTCGGTTCGAAAGGTGGAACGAGACCGGTGTTTCCCCGTTGATGTCCGCTTGGTTCATTGCCACTGCTGCACCGAATATAGGCGGCATCGTGACTCACGATCCATAATAAAACTATACTCGGACCAACAGTGTCGCATGAAAATAACTTCTTACCAAGAAACCTAACTGATCTTTCATTGTTCCTGGAAACTATTGACCGCCATTATGACGTCACGTGATCTCACGGTTTCACAACTCTACGTGCAATCTTGATGATACAATTGGTACTTCAGAAAAATATCTAGTTATTCTGTACAACTCTGTGTAGGTATAATTTCGCAGTGTTTGATAAACTAATAACAGACGCAATAGCGTGTAATGCACACATAATTTGAAACGGTAGAAGATAATTGAATATAGTTAGTTATCTTGATGCGAAATCGACACGGACTTCAAGAACCGCCTCTTAATGCAACACGTATACCTACAGTACGTATACTCATTTTTGCCAACTTTTTACAATATAATTTTGCATGAACAATCGCTGTGTAATTCCGATTAAATTCTCTGCAATTGTCTACGCTGTGGACACTTACCTTCACGGTAACACTGTTGACTGACCCCTTAATAAGATCGATAATTTCCTCTCGGGATTTGTCATCGACGTTGATCCCATTGACCTCGATTAGCCTGTCCCCGGGCAACAACCCGGTGTCGTTGTTGTGTTGTATCAGTGAACCAGGCTCGGCGAAGATCACTGGTCTCATCTGAGTAACACCGTTGGCCGATCGTTCTACGATCACGGCCCGTCGCAACGAAAATCCAAAATCATTTCGTGGCGGCGGTTGTCTTTGGATGGTCAATTCCCGAGGCTCTGGGAGCTCCAGTGAGATAATCTCCGGTAGCTGGAGCTCCACACCCTGTTCCTCGAAGGATGCGGATGATCTCCAGCGGGATAAACCCTGAGATTCTCCGACGGGCGACAGGCTGAACGGTGGGGTTGCGAAACTTGAATTCGTGGTGTCGGTTAAGGAGTCCGCTGACGGACTCGCACTTGTTACAACCTGGAACAGAGATAATTATTATGTTTAATTGTTTCAACATTATTATTTAATTTATGGGTGTTTCATTTACAGATATTTTTTTAATTCTACATAAGGATGAAATGTTAATTAATTTGTACAATTTTTTAACTTCATTAAAGGTAGTATATTCTATAAGTTTAATAAATACCAAGTATTCTAATGGTACAATATATTATTTTTATAATATATATTATATTCCTATACAATATATTAATTTTTTGAATACTCATTTCTGTTAAGTTCAACAAATTTTTATATATACAAGTTCTCAAATTTTCAAAAGATATCAAATTAGACATTTTCAAAAACTTTGCATACAATAATTTAAACATCATATATTTATACAAATATAATAATTAAAATACAGTTCCAGGATGTTCAAATAAAATGTATATACACTTTATTACTATACATACACAGAGAGTTAATATAATATTATTTTAGAATTACAAGTGTTCAAAATGTTCATCGTCAACATCAAAATGATTTACTATCTGTTATCATTTTTATGTTTGATATTAATAATTATGTGTGCATAATATATACAATATTTTTTACCAGAAAACATTGTATATATATGTATAATATGTAGAAATTCTTTTTATTACTTGCATATATATTGTTATAAATTTTTAACAATATTGTTATATTAAATATAATGATCTTTTGTATGCAATAGAAATAAATAGTAGAATAAAATATTTCAAATGTATTTCTAAATGATAAAAATGCATCAGCTGCTAAGAATATCAGCCTCTGAAGGTCATTCAAGCATCTGTTCCCATAATACCGTATGGTAACCCTGGCGTCCCATTTTTCGTCCCTCTGCGATATCCCAAAACAACGGGAAAAAAGAGAAAGAACAACATGCTAACAAGTCTAAAAGTCCGTGCAAAAAAGTAAGGGGCTAAATATAGCAGTACAAGATGAGGACGAACAAAGAAAAAGCAGAACGTTTCATAATGATGAACACGACGAAATTAGGAATGCTGTTTGCCAAGCTCTCAGAAAGAAGATGACCCCTGTTTAATTTTTTTTAATATTAACTGACTGCTATTTTACAAGCAAAAATGAAGCAAAAAAAAAAATGAGTTAAAAATGCAAAAGGGATGAAAAAAGAAGTAATTATTAGAATATGTAAAATAAGGGATTGGCATTTATTTCACTGAACTCTGTACATGTGTAGGAATATACAGATAAATATAAAGGTGTTTCTTCAGGTACAATAATAAATATAAATTCACTTAATAATAAACCTTCATTTAAGAGTAAGTATAAATTCTAAGTAGTTTGACTTCTTTTCTTGTTGTTGTATTGCATCTTTAACGATAACAATTAATATCTTTTCCTATATTTCTATCGTTAATGGTGAGCCCCTTGAATGATAATTTAATGCACCATTTATAATATTAGAAAAAACTATTAGATACACTTTAATAATTTTATATGATGAACCTATGTTGAAGTAGATTGGTGTTGTGCAGTACACTTCATAGTAAATATTGTTGTCATTGTTTGTTTTAAAATAAATATAAAGATATCAATGAATTTCAATTTGGTATTGAATAATCAACTGTTGCACTTATTACAAGAGCTGTTGCTTAATTTATACTGCAATGAAATATTTCTTTTCAATTTTCCCAAAATATTGTTTTAACAACACATCTTATTCGCTTCTTCCAAGGACTACAATTTGTATAGTATTTTAGTGTTTCAAATCCAAATATTTTTGTATATTTTTTGAGAAATGTGACTGGACAGACTTTCCAGAATTAATACTGAATTACATTTCTACTAACATGCTTGATTTTTCTCTACTTCATTTAGTAGTTCATTAACCAGTTTGAAATCTTCTTATTTGAAAATTCTATATTCATTATACCAATCCTTACTAATTTTGTATCGCACTTAAACTTCTTAAATTAATCTCTTTTATTTCTTCTTTTGTTTACATAACATTTCTAGATAGAATTTTCAGAATTAATATCAAATTTAAGATACTATTTCAGATTATCAATGCACTCACAGTGTTTGTTTTCAAATAAACTAAAATAATATCTTTTTTATGAATATGAATTCTGTCAACTTCATTAAATTTCTTACATTATTTATTTTTTAACTTTTGTCACAACTTTTAATACATTATATTGTAACATATACCATGTATCTGGTTAATTCAAATTCAGTTTCTTCCTTTCAATAAATTGAAAAATAGTAAACAGTTTATTCTGTTTTAGATTACAATTTACATTATCATTACATAGAAAACAATAAACTTGTTTAAATATCATTAAAACTTATACTACTTTATATATAAGATAGTTAATTTGTCATGATTGATATTCTAACCTTGTACTGCCCTTCTTTGATTCATAATTTCTCATTTTATAATTTGCACTGATTGTTTAAATAATACAATTCTGCCCCTTGAAAAGAATTCTTGCAGTTTCACTTTGAATTTATGCAACTTCATTTTCCGTTAATTTTTCGCTACGACATGTGTTACGAATTTATATATTACGGCAATCATATATCTTATTACAGTGAAAGTTGAAGAAACACTGAATGTGTACTTTGCAAACATAATTTAAATGTGCTATCCTTTTACCCCAACCGTCTGCATGTTTACATTGACGAACAGAGTTCAGCGAAGCGAAAGTCGAACTGACGCCGATTTCTACGTTTTCAATGCACAATATTTATATACATGTTATATACACAATTGTAAATATAAACTTGAAAAATCATATAGAAATTTTTGTGCATTTGCATATTTCTAAACCAAAAACATTAAAAAATTTGAAATTTGCACATTTCTCATTTAAATGTACTAAAATAAAAAATTTATTCATTGTAAACTTTTGATGTTTCTATGCCTATAAATTTATGAAATAAAAAATGTAATATTTCTGTTTCTAATTTAATAAATAAGTATACTAACTAATTGAAAATTTCTAGATCTGATTTTGTAAATAAGTAAATTAAAACTCTGAAGATTTCTGTTTATAATTTTTTAGATCATAAATTTGAAAATTTACAAATTAGGAAATTAAAAAATTTGAAGCTCTTATTTATACCAAAAGTAAAAACATAACATTCCCTTTTCTCATTTTCCAAATTAAAATATTTAAATGTTTACAAATTTGTAAAACTTGAAATGTATTATCTAGTCTTATTTAATCCATATTCCTAAATTTCCAAATCATCAAATGGAATCAAATCTCTAAATCTGCAACTTACAAATTCAAAAATTTGAAATTTCTATTATTCTTAAGAATAATAAACAAATACTCAACAACAGTCCCACTATATTTCCAATAACTTTATTATTTCTCCTCCATAAAATATTCTACATCATCATAGTAAAAGTAATTCTACATTCATACAGTAAAAGTTATTCAACATTTACATAAGTTATGGTACATTCACATAAAAGTTATTCTACATTCACGTAGTAAAAAAGTTAGTTTACATATAATAAAAGTTATTCTACATCGATATAATAAAAAAGGTAGTCTACATCCACATGGGAAAAAAGTTATTAAGGGCCTCATAGTAAAAGTAATTCTATATCCACATAGCAAAATTTATTCTACACCCACATTGCAGAAAAATGTTGCTACGTGCACATAGTAAAAAAGTTATTCTACGTTCTCATAGTAAAAGATGTTCTACATCGTATGACAGAAGTTGCATCTACATAGTAAAAGCTATTTTACATCCACATAGAAAAAGCTATTTGACATCCACATAGTAAAAGCTACTCTACATCCAGAGCCCAAAAAATCACCATCATGATTCTCCCATTTCCATAACCCATAAATTCAAAAGTCTCCCACTAACCTGCAGCAGCTTCGAATCACCCTGGTGATGATGATGATGGTGTTGCTGATGATGTTGATGCTGATTCTGTTGTGCAGCTCTCTGAGGCGAAACCTGCCACGAACCCTGCGCAGTCTGCGTTTCCTCTTCGCTGCAACCTTCCTCTTTGTTCACGGTGTTTCCGTATCCCGGTAAATGTACAGGTACGTTCTGATATGCTATCACTTCGTTTTGCAACGTGTTCCTGACCAACAGATTACTGGCTTCCTGATAATTCGCCTCGTTTCCGTTGGGCAACGTATTCTCCTCCGCCAAAGAGTTCGTCGTGCCGCTGATGCTCAAGCGCGGGCCTTTCAAAATTCCGCGTTTTGGCGGTTTCGGCGGCAATGGCGGCAAATTCTTGCTAGATTGCCCACCGGTGGCGTTGCTCGGCGTCGCGGAAGACGTCGTGGTGGTAATTGTCAACGAAGTCAGTGAGGTTTCCGAGGAATCGCTCTGCGTTAAACCATCCGGTGTCCTCGTGTTCCAATTGTTACCAGTTCTCACACTTTGACCGGAACTCGACGAGTTCTGAGAGTTCTCCAACAGATCGCGGTCTAAGTAAGCGAAAAACGACGCACTATAGTCGGCGGTTATACCACTCGGTAACTTTTCCTTTTCCTTCCGGCGACCAGGAATCTTCAACGATCTCCGTACCTGTGGACAGAAATTTGGAAATGATATTATCTTCTGAGTGGTTGTTACGCGATAAATGGCCGATTTCGAGGTTAGACACGCGATCGTATTAAAGTACTGTAATTACGCATAATTTGATCTGCGATGCTGCTTTTATGAATTTGAAGGTTAGTACTATTATCGATTTGAAGTTTCAAGTTGAATAGAAGATACAATATAAACTCTTCATTAAAATATTTAACAAAATCTTTTTTAACAGTAGAATTACTGAAGTAATAAATCAATGAAATAATGAAATAGTGAAATAGTGAAACAATGAAATAGTGAAATAGTGAAATAGTGAAATAGCGAAACAATGAAATAGTATAATAGTGAAATAGTAAAATACTTGCACAATAAAAGACAAATTATTAATAATAAAATCTATAAATAGTTCGTGACCCAGTTTCAATAAACTTCAAGCTTCAAAATGATGTACCATAAGAATTATTTTATAGTATTTTTTTTACTTAAATATTCGAAATCTGTCATTTTACGTGTAACAATTTAATAAATGATTAATAAAATAATTTAAAGAGGGTAGTTATCAAAATAGTTATAAAAATTGAACAGAATAGATTGTTACATTATTTAATAAATTTTCTCCTTATGAGACCAACGACGCACCGTATGCGTCCTAACTAATTACTCAATGTGGGGATAAGAAAATTAATATGATTTTGTATAATCAATATATTTATCAGTGTGTTTACATTATATAATTATTATATAAGTCATTAGATATAAAAAATAATTATACTGTACACATCTAAGTATTTTATTATTAAATTATCACACTCCTTAATTTATATATAAAACTGTTTAATTACTAAACATACTAACATATTTAACTACTTTGTTATGTTATATCAAAGCTTCAGATAATTCATATTACTAACAAATTTTACCAAAATTATCAATTAGTAACTGATACCATTTATTAAAATAATGAATTGATTAGTAATAACTTTGAAATCAGTAGACTTCTGAAAATAATACTTTTAAATTCTATTCACTGTAATAATATTTAAAAACAGTTAACAATTCTGGTTTCCTCAGAATGAAGTTTTGCCACCGCCTATTCCTTTTGAAACAATTTGTAAAAACCGTTTGATACAATTCAGAGTACTGACGTATTAGGATACGTATTAGGCTCCCAACCTTTTTGGACACCCTGTATAAACACATTGTCTTAAGTAAAGAAACATTTTATTAGACGTCGATTTTTGAGGGCGGTATTTGAAAATATATTAATGTCATGCTTGTCAAATTAATTCGATATTTATTAGAAATTTTGCGCGGTGCCCTTAGTACACTGGTACGGCACGTTTTTCTAGGGAAAATGGCGGCACAGGAAGAGACGCCATTACCCGTTTATTTTTAGAGACGCTTCAAACGAATACAAAAAATTGAGATATTTTCCTGGAACAATAAAAGGTAAATTGGCAATTTTGTGAAATGGGGATATTATTATTCTGCGTGGGGTAATATCGGACCACACTCGGACGTTAATGACCCGGCAAAGATTAAACGGCTTAGGGTGGAACTTCTGACAATGAGTCACACACCATATTCGCCTAACCTCGCCCTCCCGTCAATTAACGCCTATTTCAGTTCCCACAGGACTTTTTAGGCGAAAGAACTGCTAATAGCGTACTGCTACACCCAGAGGGAGTTGCAGAATATTTTAATAGCAAATGAGAACAATTTTATAGGCTGAAATATGGACATACTGGGTGTGCAACAAGGGTGTGATTATGCTTATAATACTCATTTCTTGATTTTCAAATTTTTTAAGTTGTAAGTTTTGAATTCTGAAATCTTTGAATAGCTATACTTCCAAATTCTCAAGACCCCAAATTAATTTTCAAATCCTTAGTCAAAATTTTAATAATTTTAATTCCCCAAATCTTACCATTTACTTATTTTTTCAATTTCTAAATTCAAAATTAAAAAATTGCCTAATATTCAAGTGACTAAATGTCAATAATTTCAAACTCCAAATCCTTAAATTTTCTAATTTAGAAATATCCCAATATGCAAATCCAAATTACCAAATGTCCAATTTCTCAAATTTCTAAATTCTCAAATTTCCCATTTTTCAAATATCAAATTCTTAAATCTCCAAGTTTTCAAATTTTTAAATCCCAAAATTCTAAAATCCTCTAATTCCAAAATTCCCAAATCCCACACATCTAAACTCCCAAATCCCTATATTCCCCGGACCACACTCGGACGTTAATGACCCGGCAAAGATTAAACGGCTTAGGGTGGAACTTCTGACAATGAGTCACACACCATATTCGCCTAACCTCGCCCTCCCGTCAATTAACGCCTATTTCAGTTCCCACAGGACTTTTTAGGCGAAAGAACTGCTAATAGCGTACTGCTACACCCAGAGGGAGTTGCAGAATATTTTAATAGCAAATGAGAACAATTTTATAGGCTGAAATATGGACATACTGGGTGTGCAACAAGGGTGTGATTATGCTTATAATACTCATTTCTTGATTTTCAAATTTTTTAAGTTGTAAGTTTTGAATTCTGAAATCTTTGAATAGCTATACTTCCAAATTCTCAAGACCCCAAATTAATTTTCAAATCCTTAGTCAAAATTTTAATAATTTTAATTCCCCAAATCTTACCATTTACTTATTTTTTCAATTTCTAAATTCAAAATTAAAAAATTGCCTAATATTCAAGTGACTAAATGTCAATAATTTCAAACTCCAAATCCTTAAATTTTCTAATTTAGAAATATCCCAATATGCAAATCCAAATTACCAAATGTCCAATTTCTCAAATTTCTAAATTCTCAAATTTCCCATTTTTCAAATATCAAATTCTTAAATCTCCAAGTTTTCAAATTTTTAAATCCCAAAATTCTAAAATCCTCTAATTCCAAAATTCCCAAATCCCACACATCTAAACTCCCAAATCCCTATATTCCCTAATTTTGTAATTCCTAAATTTCCCAATTTTCAAATTCCAAATCCTTAAAGCTCCAGTTCCCAAATTCTCAAATTCCAAAAGTCCCAAATGACAAAATCCCAAAATCCCCTAATTCCACAATTCCTAAATTTGAAAATCCCCATATCCCCAAAATCCCCAAATCTCAAAATCTCCAGATTCCAAAATTTCCAAATCTCAAAATCCCCAAATTCCAAAATCCTAAAATTCAAAAACTCTGAAACTCTAAAATCCCCTAATTCCAAATTCCCCAAATCCCATAAATCTCACCTCCCAATTCCCTATATTCCCCAATTTCCTAATTCTCAAATTTCCCAATACTCAAATCCCCAAATTGCCAAATTTCCAATAACCTAATCTTCAAATTTCCAAATTTCGACACTTCATATTTTCAGAATCCCCACTTTCCAAAGCTCCAAGCAGCAATATTTTATTATCATCACACCCTGCATACTACTTCAAAATTTAACCAATTTTCCCGCATATTTATTGATGCAATTTATAAATCATATTCCGTTCCGATCATTCTTGTCTCGATCGCAAGAACGATGATGTAATATGAAAAGTTTGGGAAACACTGTACCGAGGTATTATATTAACCTTTCTTCTCGTATCTGAATAGAGTACTAAGAGCATACATCTTGATGCCGCAACCGCATTTGACTTTCAATGAAGCAAACAAGAACGAAAGTTATCGAGTTTAACGTGGGAAAATATGTACGATGATACAAGCTAACACTTTTCAATCGTTTTAGACGAATTCTCATCGAAATTTATTTTAAATGGTTATAGATTTATACATTATATCTTAATTTTTATATGTAAGTTAAAATAACAATTATATGTCGAAATGGCGCACGCTTCACGGATTTCGATGACCTTGAAATATGTTGTCAAGGACGTCATTTCGAACAATTTTTCTCTATACATATAACCATGAATCGGCTTTAATTTCGGAGATATTTGCAAAAATATTTTCAAGGTTGTAATTATTTACAAAATGGCGTAAGCTTCACCGATTTCAATGACCTTGAAATATGTTGTTAAGGACATTATTCTAAGCAATTTTTCTCTATATATATAACCATCGATCGGCTTTAATTTCGGAGATATTTGCAAAAATATTTTCAAGGTTGTAATTATTTGCAAAATGGCGCACGCTTCACAGATTTCGATTACCTTGAAATATGTTGTTAAGGACGTTATTCTAAGCAATTTTTCTCTATATATATAACCATCGATCGGCTTTAATTTCGGAGATATTTGCAAAAATATTTTCAAGGTTGTAATCATTTACAAAATGGCGTACGCTTCATCGATTTCGATGACCTTGAAATATGTTGTCAAGGCCCTCATTCTGAACAACTTTTATCTATACATACAATCATCTATCGGCTTTAATTTCGGAGATATTTGCAGGATATGAAGTGTACAATAAATATTAGTAAAGCAAATTTTGAAAACAGTTTGTTCTCTTGGCAAAGTCAAGGTCACCTTGGGTTTTTTAAATAGGAACATACATTTTTTTTTATTCACAGCTTTAGAGGACATCGAGACGAATTCAAAACATATATTACATGATATTTTTATTAACATATTACTCGATTTATTTTGAAAACAGTTTTTTGAAATTTTGCAACAATTTTCAAAACGTTTTAATATTTGTCAGGTGCGTTAGACACAAGTAGATATTCAAAGCTACAATATTAAAACGAATAATTAATTGTTTTGTATACTTTACTTCATTACATTAGTTTGCTGCATATCAAATAACGAATTTCAAAAGTAGAAAGTCAGTATGACTCATTATATGAAAGTGCAAAATAACACTCATGACTTATCAATTTGCAACTTCAGATTTGATACAAAGTTATATCAACTTTCTATTAAACGTTTATGTATTCTTAAAAATTGAGAACACAGCTACTTAAAAGTTTGAAAGCCTACAAATTTCTACATGACAAAATTAAAAAATAAAAAAATTGTCTTGTAAAAATTTATACAAGTTTATACACCTACGCCTAGTAAACCTCCGCAGCTCCTCCATGTACACATTATAAGACATTTGATACGGAAGATCCAGGAAAGCGAATACCTGAGAAACAACAACTCATGAAGACACAATGAGGTATCTGTTCATTTCGCTAGATCTTTCATATCAAATACCGTGTAATGTGAGCGTAACTAAACGACACTCGAATGCATAATCCATCGCAAAATCTGTTAGCCGGTTATTTCTTTCCGGCCGAAGTGTTCATGAATCAGCTGTTTCCGATTAAACGAACAATGATGAATAGAGTTACGGATAATTACGCAACTGCGTATTTCAACACGAGACACTAAAAATATACAAAGAAACACTTTTCACGATTTTTCAAATATTTGCAATAATTTGACGAAAAATATTTTAAATAGAAACTGATCTGTTTTTGATTGGCTATATATTGCAATAAAAGGAAAAGTTTTTAAAATATTTTTTTATAATTGTGGAGGTCACCTTCCTTTTTTCTTTAAATGGAATCTTGTAATTTTTACTTAATAGTATTATAGCCCATGTCAAAACGAATTCAACGTGTTAGTGCACCATAACAGATGACCTTGAGAACAAATATATATATATATATATATATATATATATATATATATATATATATATATATATATATATATATATATATATATATATATATATATATATATATATATATATATATATATATATATATATATATATATATATATATATATATATATATATATATATATATATATATATATATATATATATATATATATATATATATATATATATATATATATATATATATATATATATATATATATATATATATATATATATATATATATATATATATATATATATATATATATATATATATATATATATATATATATATATATATATATATATATATATATATATATATATATATATATATATATATATATATATATATATATATATATATATATATATATATATATATATATATATATATATATATATATATATATATATATATATATATATATATATATATATATATATATATATATATATATATATATATATATATATATATATATATATATATATATATATATATATATATATATATATATATATATATATATATATATATATATATATATATATATATATATATATATATATATATATATATATATATATATATATATATATATATATATATATATATATATATATATATATATATATATATATATATATATATATATATATATATATATATATATATATATATATATATATATATATATATATATATATATATATATATATATATATATATATATATATATATATATATATATATATATATATATATATATATATATATATATATATATATATATATATATATATATATATATATATATATATATATATATATATATATATATATATATATATATATATATATATATATATATATATATATATATATATATATATATATATATATATATATATATATATATATATATATATATATATATATATATATATATATATATATATATATATATATATATATATATATATATATATATATATATATATATATATATATATATATATATATATATATATATATATATATATATATATATATATATATATATATATATATATATATATATATATATATATATATATATATATATATATATATATATATATATATATATATATATATATATATATATATATATATATATATATATATATATATATATATATATATATATATATATATATATATATATATATATATATATATATATATATATATATATATATATATATATATATATATATATATATATATATATATATATATATATATATATATATATATATATATATATATATGAATTTTAAGAAACAATGATATTCACAGACAATATTGCTTGTAATAGTTGCAATAATAATTACAATAATTGCAAAGATAATTGTAACACTTGCAATCATAATTGTGACAGTTGTAATAGTTCCAATGACAGTTATTATAGTTCCAGTGACCGTTGCAATAATTATAATAGTTGGGATAATAGCTGCAATTCAACAACTAAGCATGTCCTCCGGATGACCTTGAGAGCAAAAAAATCAAAATTTCAAGAAAAAATGATAATCTGAATTAGTAATAATAGCCTGTGTTTAATAGTTGAAGTTATTATATACTCAATTTATAAACCTTGAGTAAACGAACGCAAGCGATTTTTGTGAAAAGTTCACATAAAATTTTCAAAATGAAATTCGTGTTGTTGTAGACATGATTCCGCTCTTCCTAATAAGTTTAGATTGGTTGCGCTTGCTATACTGTCATAGAGTGTCCGTGTGCTGTACGAATTTATTGCTTTAAATATTCCTTATTTTCTATTCGAACAGCATAAATAGTCAGCTGTAAATAAACCCATAAAACATAAATTATTATTCGAGCAGTCTACCATTTTTTAAAGTTTCTATTTATTTGTCAATTAAATAAAAAAAAGATAAACGTTATTACTTCAAATATTTATAAGGGGAAATTACCGTTTAAAATATACAAACATAGATTTATTAGCGAAGTGTTAATAAATATTCGAATGTAACGCAGAGAATTTAATTGACATCATAAAATACAAGGTACAATCGCAAAAGCAGTCAAGGAAGAGATGTAAAACATAAAAATCAGTTTATCATTGATAAACGATGATGAAGGTTTTTAAATGAGTGATACGATAAAAGCGATAAAGTAACGTATGATAACGGGAAATACGGAAGAGAAATTGATATAAGAACAGACAGAAATAAATTGGAAGTGACCGCAATGTAACGCTCTATATATTTCTAAATTCGTTTACCAAATGTATTTACGTTAAAACTACCGAATTAATAAGATGGCCGATTTAGAAGTTTCGTATTTTAACCCTAGTTTTACGGACGGTTTATGACCACTTATATTTAACTGGAAAAATTATAAAAATAAGTAAATAATAAATAATACAAAAACTAGCTTTTACCATGACTACTTCGATGCAGGTTAACATATATTTCGACAAAAATTTTTTAATACTTTCAGTGACTGAAGAGAATAAATCTAAGATCTGTCATTTACACAAGTTCTGTAAACTAAAGAATAGAGGATACAAGAAACGACACTCTGGGCGATACCTTAGATGTTTGAGAAAGCCTTCTAATTGGTTGCGCAATACAACCGGGAAATTTAAATTACGCGAATCTAATGTCATGGCAATTTCTAATAATTACAAATTTATTTATCGTAAATTTTCTGTACGTTGCTAATACTAACTTTCGAAGTATTTACATGAATTTGACAACGTTGACAAATTTAAAAAGAAAGGAATATACTAAAGTAATTACTTTGCAAAATATATTTGAAATGATTATAACAAAAAACTTATAAATGACTAACTATTTATCACAAAAAAATACAGATAAGATATAAAACACAGTGAAAATACAGCGTGTTACAAAAAATAACGAAATTATTACAAATAAATTACTGATAAATATGCAGGTTTAAACCATTCTTTGTCAAACGCCATATTTGCATACCATGCGCATGCGCGTTTCGGAATACCGCACCGAAATTGTACCCCCACCTCAGTTCATTTTGTACGGCCACTTAAATTCGTCTATTGTTCCGTGTCTCGCTAAAAGTAATTTGTCAAAGTGTCGTCACTTGTTACTCTACTCTTTGATTATGACCTAATAGTTGCAGCAGTGACTACAGTTATATCGTCATTCAATTGTTCTAACAATCTTGAAGGTTAAGGTGCTACACTTCGCGGACCCCATACGTCAAAATTGCGAAACTTTCTCATATTACTCTCAATTTCTAACTTGTTTAACTGATTTGCATATTTAGCATGGACATTTAAATTCCTTATATTACTTCGCCTCTCTCTAAAAGTAGTTCTCTTATCAGTGTTGCATCTTATCTTACCCTTTTCAACATCAAAACAAAAATACTGTGGCGTTAGTATACGTAAAAGTCCTTAGGTCATAAGTAGTTTGCACGCTCGCAATCTAGGTTAAGTAAAGAGTTCTAGTTATAAAATTTTGAACGACGAAGAATAATGAACATGGTTTTCAGCACTCGAGTAATGTAACGGACACAATGTTCCTATTAAACACTGATTAATCTTCATAATAGTGGTTACTATAATTATTCCCAGTTCTCTGTTTGATTTAAGAGTAACAGTAGTTTGCGTGGCTGTGTCCTATAAAATATAGCATGTAGGTAAACCCTTAGAATATGATGGATGTTCGCGACATCTATAAAATACTTTCTGGAAACTTCTTCCGGTTGATGTAGTCCCATGGTTTTCGTAAATTTCATTTACGGATCCATAATAACATAATTATGATATTTAGTTTATGAAAATTGAATTTTAGGTCAAGAAATTATAACTATTTTCCTTTTTTTTTGTACTGCATTGAAATAAATATTTCTTTATTTGACAAGATATTATTCTTGAAATTTACTTTTGAGTTTTATTTAGGTTAGGGTGCCTCAAACAAAAATTTGTCTTTTTAAATTTTTCTCTCAAAGATTGAATTGAATAATTTAAATTTAACAAATCGGTCAAAGCAATTTTCTATCGGTATATTGATATTTTATTGTGTAAACTTTCTACTACATTTTAAGTGATTGCAGATGTTAATATAAAATTGCACAAAATTAGAAGTTAGTATTAAGTCGCTCAGCAATGTGAATCGGCAGATTTAACCATAGTTACATAGTCTGAGAAGTAAGTAAATAATTATGATTCATCAGTAAACCCAAAATCTTGGTTGCCTTGGCTTTTCTGACAGCACGCGAGCGCGCTTTCCTTTTTTGAGGTTAGCTTCGACTGACGTTTATCGGTTATTGCCATTTTTGCAATTATGAATTCCAAAAATGACTGATTTATAAATATAGGAATTTAAAGATTTGAAATATTAAGAATTTAAAGATTTTAAAATTTAGAAATGAAGGAATTTATAAATTTGAAAAATTAAGGAATTTGAAAGTTTGTATTATTATAGAAGAACACATGTATAAATACGAACATTTTATTGTTCTTTAATGATACTTTTTGCATATTCATAATTTGTGCGGAAGTTTTATTTGTGGACAAAACGTTTATCAGGATACTGCGTTTAATAATCCGAGGGAAATGTTATTGGGCGGATGAGGTATTACGCGATAAGGAACAAACATTGTGTGTGTACACAGACAGTTTCCGTAGTACAATATACCGGGTGTCTCATCATTTTTTAAACTAGTGGCTCTATGGACCTCTCATGAATTCCACTGTGTTAAATTTCTAATATCTACTGCAAACTTTTATTGATTCAATGACGATTAACGTCGATGACAACAGTCGGCAGAATTTATGCAGCAAACGAGTGTCATGAGACTACCCTAAAAATTTCAAGTGACAATTGAAATTAAATTGAAAGACAATCGCGGACTGCAGCGCACAGACAAAGGAACAAGTGCATATCTAGTCGACCTAGTGATTCACTATGTTCGGTAACTAGGGACTTTGTAGGGAATTCCAAGATTTGAAGATTTGGAAATTCGGAATTTTTGCAAGGTCGAATTTTAAAGCTTAAAAATTTGAGAATTTGTGGTTTGAAAAAATTAGGAATTTCGAGATTTTAATACCTGAAAAATTGTGACTGGAAATTTTGAAATTCAAAAAATTGTAACTAGAAATTTCTGAGTTTAGAAAATTGTGATATTAAAGATTTCTAAATTTCATGAAGTGTAATTATGAGAATTTTTATGCTTGAAAAATTGTGACCTTGGAAATTTTTATACTAGAAGAATTGTAATATTAAATACTAAAAATACTAAACCACTAATTAGACCCATTCACATATTTTTTTCTTTAAATTACAAAATTTAGTAAAATACTCTCATTCAAACTAATGTTAGTTTTCATCGAGATTAAGAATTAATGTGTATACTATTGGTATCAAAATCTTTTATTTCTAAATGTAACGATTTATTAAATATTATTGATTCAGTTGCTTATATCATTTTGTGTCACACTATTCCTTTTTACTTTTGAACACCCAGTGTATGAGGAAAAATGAAGTATTATCTGTCGTACTTTTCCGTCATATACTGGGTGCTTTACGAAACGATGACATAACAAATTCTTCAGAGAATAATAAATAAAACATTTCTTCATAATTTTCAGATTAAATTGAATAAAAATTGAATAGTTAATAATAAATTAGTAATTCGTTAATTCTTTCTTTATTGTAATAAGACAGTACCTGTTTTCAACATGTATTGAGAATATGAAATTTTTGTAAATTATTAAATTTTGCCTTTGGAAAGTTGGATTATTTGGGAAATTAGGAAAATTCTATATTACTGTATTTCTACATTTGATAATTTGAAAAATGATAACTTCTACGTTTCTGAATATTCATATTTACAAAATTTACAATTTGAAATTTTTGTATTTTCAAAATATAGATATTCAAGTTTTCATCTTATCAAAATTTATAAATTTAAATTTTCACATTTTCCAAATTCTAAATTTGTTCTTTTCTTTTTTGAAAATTTGAAAGTTACTAAATTCAGGCAGTTAAAAATTTACAAATTTGAGAATTTAAGAAATTTGAAGAAATTACAAATTTTGAAAGTCAAAAAAGTTCAAAAATTTGTTATTTTTAAGAAATTTAGAAAATTGAATAAGTGAAAATTTGAGAAATTCTGAAATGTGAGAATTAAAAAATTTTGAAAATAAAAAAAGTTTCAAAATTTATTTCACAATTCAAATATTAATGAACTTAAAAATTCGCGAAACTTGATAATTTAGAAAAGCGAGGAATTGAAAACTTCAAAAAATCAAAAATACAATATTTTTATATTTCAAACTTGTCCAATTTTCCAAATTCTAAAATTAAATATTCAACAATTTTTTTTATCAAACTCTTCGACGAACAGTCGGTCTTTCCATCAGCAGTCCATCATAATTGAAGTATAATTGTGTTGCACATATTTTTCAATTAGACCCAGTTGAACAACGTGTTCGTGTATTAACAATTGAAGTTAATCACGCGTGTGCATAGCGCAAACGCTTAACCCGTTGCCCTCTCTCTTCACATTATCGAATTAAATGCTCGATGTATTCAAGATGTGTTTAAAACAGCGTATATGAATTCCGAATTAAAAATAAAGCAGAATAAATAAACAAACAGATAATTGAATATATTAGGTTTAAATCGTTTAATCTTTACCGGGTCATTAACGTCCTAGTGTGGTTCAATATTACCCCACGCAGAATAATAATATCCCCATTTCACAAAATTGCCAATTTACCTTTTATTGTTCCAGGAAAATATCTCAATTTTTTGTATTCGTTTGAAGCGTCTCTAAAAATAAACGGGTAATGGCGTCTCTTCCTGTGCCGCCATTTTCCCTAGAAAAGCGTGCCGTACCAGTGTACTAAGGGCACCGCGCAAAATTTCTAATAAATATCGAATTAATTTGACAAGCATGACATTAATATATTTTCAAATACCGCCCTCAAAAATCGACGTCTAATAAAATGTTTCTTTACTTAAGACAATGTGTTTATACAGGGTGTCCAAAAAGGTTGGGAGCCTAATACGTATCCTAATACGTCAGTACTCTGAATTGTATCAAACGGTTTTTACAAATTGCTTCAAAAGGAATAGGCGGTGGCAAGACTTCATTCTGAGAAAGCCAGAATTAACTGTTTTTAAATATTATGGTATTTGATAAGTAGAATTCGAAAGTATTAGTTTCAAATTTAGATATCGAGTGACGCAAACATTATTGACGAATTCATCATAGCAAATGGCTTGTACAAATTATTCGAAACCGAATAAAAGCGAATATCCATCATGAGTCAGACTTGACAAATGGTTCGAATTATCTGTGTACCTACACTTTGTCGATAAGCTTGACACAGAACACACGTTCCGTGTCCTCAGAGGTCGACAGTCGATACGTATATCGATCCGTGGCGTTATTCCGAATTTTTTTTGTTTTAATTACAAAGATAAACCATGCACAGCTGCATTTTATGTTTCGGATAATAAAAAGAGAATGGTTCCGACAAAATATGCGGCAATGGAAAAATATTAAACGCGAAATTAAGGTTAAAACTTTCTTAAATTAATTAACGCGTAGGAAAAATATGTAATTACAGGAAGTAGAGTATACCTCACCTATTTTAATGATTTTGATGTATGGTACAAAGGTCAATGTCCTCGGTAATTTTATTTGCACAATAACATTCATTGTTGTGGGAAATATATTGGATTTTTTAATAAAAATTGGAATAATGACTAAGTTGTTGCAAAAGTAATCAATAATTGTTCAATTAATGACATATAATTATTCAAATAATAATTCAAATAATGTTTGAATCAAATAAATTTCTATTTAGTTTGCATGTTTTGTTATTGCTTAAATAATTGTGCTTTATTATTTATTATTATTAACTAATTTTTTAAGTTGAAAATGTAATTGCTGTTGTTCAATGTTTTTGGTATATTTAAATTTTTATTTTTAACATTAATTGCAATCATTTTTGAAAATAATTAGACAATACTTAAATTATCTTTAAAAAGATTAGATAATATTTAAATCATCTTCAAAAAAAGATTAGATAATATTTAAATCATCTTCAAAAAAGATCAGACAATATTTACTTAAATTATCTTCAAAAAAGATTAGATAGTATTTAAATAACCTTCTAAAAAGGTCAGATAATATTTAAATCATCTTCAGAAAAGACTAGATAATATTTAAATCATCTTCAAAAAAGATCAGACAATATTTACTTAAATTATCTTTAAAAAAGATTAGATAGTATTTAAATAACCTTCTAAAAAGATAAGATAATATTTAAATCATCTTCAGAAAAGATTAGATAATATTTAAATCATCTTAAAAAAAAAATCAGACAATATTTAAATCATCTTTAAAAAAAATTGGATAATATTTAAATAACCTTCAAAAAAGATCAGACAATATTTAAATAATCTTCAAAAAAGATTACACAATACATAGATCATCTATAAAAAAGATTAGATAATATTTAAATAATCTTTAAAAACAGCAGATATTATTTAAATAATTTTAAAAAATTACACAATATGTAAATATCAAAAATATAATTTTTTTAAAATATAAGAAATTTGATTTGAATGTATATCTAACATAAAACCTAACCTAACCACACGCGCATTTACCGGTAGACGAATTTAATATTGTACGGATGTAGGAATTTGTAGGAAATTCGAGAGCTGCGTCATTTTGCTCACTATATTACCGTCCGAGTCCACTGAAATTCCTATTTCTACGATTTCCTTTATTACTGGGTCTGCTGATCTTAATCTCACACTATAGAAAAACTCGGTATTTAGGTATGTTAGGTTATGTAAATGATTCATTGCGATATTACAACACTCTACTGTGAGAAACCTTTGAACAATGCAATAAATGGTATTAAAAACACTTTTGTGTACATAAGTGTCTATGAGCATTGAGACGTCTGTAATTGTTGTTGACTAGTTTTTAGTTTGTGTAATATACTTTGTAGTACCTTAGAATATTTAAAAAAACCAATATTACATAGAATAATATGCAGTTTTTATTTAAAAAAATAATTATGCAATTGTTTCTTTATTCTGAGATGAAGTAATTGTATTTTTAAAAAATATGTTAAATAAATGACTAGTATGAAAATTTAATAAATTAATTTTTGTTTAAGGTTATGTTAAATTAATTTAAGAATAACTTAATATTTAATTGCAGAACTGAATTAAGAATTATTTAATATAATTTTATGTGTATATAATTTGTAGTTAACTAATACATATTTATACTTGTGAATTTTCAAAGATAACTTAACCTGAACTGGTACATATGCTATTTTGTCAATCAATTCTATATACTTTTATTTAAACTTGAAAGATAACGCAACCTAACATAATCTGATATATATTGTTTCATCATTCTTTGTTTACTTTTATTTAAACTTCAAAAATAACCTAACCTAATCTGATATATTATTTCATCATTCAAATCTTTAAACTTCAAATTTAACCTAAACTGTCACATAATTTTGATAGTCAAATTTATTTACTCACGTTTAAACTTCAAACTTAATTTAACTTAACTAAAACTCAAATAAAAATAATTAAATTTAAATTACCATTTCATACACGTATCAATTTAGGTTAGAAGTTTAAATGTGAATAAATAGACGAACGATAAAGTGACATGTACTCCATTTCAATCATACTCATTCGATATACCGAATCATTAATCACGTTTTGACACCGTTGATATTTATCGAAAACCGCGGGAAAATAAATACATTTGAATGACAATATCATGTATCACATTTTATTTCAATAATAATATTTAGTCTACTTTTAATATATCAAACTATTAATAATATTATTAATATTATTATTAATAATAATAAAAATTTATTAATAATACTATTAACAATATTACGATATTAACGATATTTAAATAAAATCGTCTAAATAAAATATTTCATTCAATTTCAGTCACAGTCGGTCATCACTTATCGTAACATTTCGATAATATCGATATTCGCGATATCGGTATCGAAAGAAGTACCTGAATGATAAAATTACACATTGCAGTCCAAATGAATCGTCCGAACATTGTCATATCGAATTACGGATAATATTTTAATATTATCGATATTCACGATAGCATTACCGATATCAGAATAAATACACTCGAATTATAAAATTACACGTTACAGTCCAATTTAATCGTTCATGTTCGTTCATTATCGACTTATTGAATTATCGATATCCATGATAACGTTATCGATATTGAAATTAGCAGACGTAAATGACAAAATTACATATTACAATATGAACGATAAATAGTTCGTATCATTTACGTTCGCTCATTATCGACATATTCATTATAAAAATAAACAAATTTGAATGACAAAATTATATGTTGCATTATGTTTCAATCGTTCGTTCCCTGTATCGATCATTATCGATATCAGAATTTTACTTCGGTAAGCAAAACCTACAAAAGGACTATAACCTATAAAAGGACTAAAAACCTTCAAAAGGACTATAACCTATAAAAGGATCGAAATTTTGAATATAGTAACAAATCAATGCAATTACGTTAACGAAACTTCAAACACGGTTTCCATGTGCACGCAAAAACAGTGAGGACATCGACCCTCGCAACACACGTCAGAACTCAGTGAAACCAGCGAGGTGTAATTACCAAAAAAACAAGAACATAAAAAAAAGAAAAGAGTACATACTTCATCCAACCGTAGTAATTCCTCAGCGGACATACTACTGCGATCTCGTTTCTTGACATCTTTTCGTTCCTTCTTCTCTCGCTTTCGCTTCTCCTTGTCGTCCTTCTCCGTAGCCTTCTTCATAAAGTTAAACATTTTCTCATTCACAGCACAGATCTCGAATCGAACGCGAGAAAGAGATAACACTGGATATCTCCTCTCCTGATTGGAAGCGGCGCGTGCACAGTTTTACGCGCAGTCGCGTATTTCCGTTTTCGGCCCCACACGCATAACGCGACGACACTGTCCATCGAAACGACGAATGTGCTCGCCGATCTCGCGACGCGTATCGCTCGAGCACGATACGATGAAAACTCGACGGGATAATTCACAGTGCAGCGACACGACGGAGAGAAAAAACGAGGGAGGGCATCGAGCGGCGTGCACACGCTCGGGCAAGTTGCAAATCGGCAACAGGAAATCCCCTGTCACGGAGCGAATTCCGAGTAAACGGTACGTCACTTTCGATGCCCCGTTATCGTGCGATAAAATACCAGCCACGTTCCCTCAGGTACGGCTATATTCCCACTCGAAACACCATGGAAAGTCTGCACTAGGTTCGAACGCGGCACGGATCACGGGACACTGAATGCGTTGTTAAACTTTTTGTCGATGAGAGACCGTACAGACGAGTATAGGGGCGTGAACCTACCGCAGCAAACTGTTTCTTCATGGCCGGTCGTTTCCGGCATTCGATCCTGATAACCGCTGCGAAATTCTTGCAAGATTCGTCTCTCTTCCGGTGTCCTTCCTTGATGAGTTTCGGGGAGGTACGCGCTAATTATATACAGTCGTACCCCGATCTTTACTGATTCAGTCGAGAAGAAGTTACGTTAGAAAAACTTGTATGGAGAAGGGGGACGGTGATGGAAATTTGAAAAGGCGGTGTAGAGGGGAGACTACTGACGGTTTTTTACGGTGGGGATTTTTGAATCATCAATTTCTATATTGGCATACTTTCGGAATTTGCAAACTTTTATATCATTAAATTCTTTTATTCTATATTGAAAAAGTCATGAATTCGCGAATTTAACAATTTTTCGATTTTTATAATATTTGTATTGAAAAATGTGCAAATTGCAAATTATTTAATTTGCAAGTGCCAAAATTCCTAAACTTTCAACGTCAAAAATACCTAAATTTTCAAAGTTAAAAATCCCTACATTTTCAAAGTTAAAAATCTCTTAATTTTCAAAGTTAATAATCCCTAAATTTTTAAAGTTAAAAATCCTTTTTTCAAAGTTACTAATCCGTAAACCTTCAAAGTTAAAAATCACTAAATTTTTAAAGTTTCAAATCTAAATTTTTGAAGTTAAAAATTCCTAAATTTTCGAGGTTAAAAATCCCTAAATTTTCAAGGTTAAGAATTTCTAAATTCCCACGCTTAAAAATTTACAAATTGCCAACATTAAAAAAGTAAAACAATTTGCAAAGAAAAAAAAGTAAAACAATTTTTAGTCCCTAAATTCCGAAATTCCAAATCGGTTTTCAAATTTTCAAATGTTCAAATTCCTAAACTTATTAAGCTCCCAAATTTTCTTCAATTCTAATTTTTTAATTTCATAATTTTCAAAAATCACCATATTTCTAAATTCTGAAATTATAGATTCCTAAAATAAAAATTCTCAAATCTTCCAAGTTTCTATCAAATTTCTACGTCATCAAATCTTAAAGTTCCCAAATTTCCAAATTTACTAATTTTTTAAATTTGTAACTAAATAGCCAAATTATCTCTTTTTCCTAGATTGCCATTTTCCCTATATGTACAAGTCTCCCGTACTCCTCAATATACACATATGCAATATTATCACAAACTTCAACAATAACGGTAGATTTACAAACAAAATATATAATTAAACATCAGCATACATGTAACTGTTACACATGGATATTTTTAAACCGAGCGTTTCAAACCTTGCGCGCCCATGGGCGCTCCCTGTCACTTTCAAAACCTAATCGAAGTTATTTCAAAACTCGATCACCATACATTCTCATTTTATGCACAAATTCTCACGACTTATAACCCACTATCAGAACTTTTAATCTCGATCAGATTTTGAAAACGACAACGATCTCCCACTGTTTAAAATAGCAAAAATTCTAAAAGACTAATACGTGCTAACTGTAACCATTGTCAATAGAAACAACATTAAGCGCGGAAAAACGTATACTCGTAAGTCGGGGTACGGCTGTACTCTTTATGCTCTTATTACATAAACCACAGGCATTTCATAGAAAGCACAATTCGAACGATACTCCGCGTCGATAGAAGTTTTGTTGGTCGAGTTACCGGATAAAAAGCATCGGTTTCGTGCGAAAACAATATCGTGACGATCGGCGCGTGACAGCGAACTTTTGCCTTCGCGAGGCTTTCGAGTCGCCGGCACAAGCTAGGAGGGGGAGAGGATAGGATAGGAATACGCGTGCCTAGAACAAAGATGAAGGGGGGAGGGTTAGAAAGGAGAAAGAGAAGCACGAGCGAAAGAGCAACGAGAATCTACATGTCATTTTTCACCACACCTTACTCGCATGCTCTTTAACTAACGGGAAGCTTCTGCTTGTAAACAAATGCCAGGCAACGTTGGGAATGAACCTTATGCTTCGCAGCGTACGACAGGCGTTCGGCTAGACGCCGCGATCGGACGGACAGCGAGAATTATTCGCGATGTCATACGCGAATTTAGCACCGACTCGATTTTCTGTATGCTGGAAAACTGACAGCCAGCACGACACGAGACACACGTCACAACACCGCCACCACACCACCCGCCGCCATTCACTAAAACCGTAGACGCGTGCGATTCGCGTTACTTCGCACCGGATTAATAGTTGAAACAGCTATGCCATCGATCCATGGTTATCGCGGACGTGCTTAGCGGAGGTTGGAACAGCCTAGCCCATTGGATCGTTCCTCTTGTCGGGAAGACACAGTCAAAGTTGGACAAAAAGTTTAACGGCGCACTCGTGTTACACCGACGACTGTCATGGCAGACTGGGCTCCAGGTTACGAGTTAGACCGGTGGCGACTGCTGGCGTCCTAAACCGAATCATGGCCTATAGGCCCGCACCCTTCTTTCCGTTAGGCCTCACTGCGCATGCGCCGCTAATCGATGATACGTTATCGGCTGGACCCGCGAAAAGCGACATCTTTTGAATCTCGTCAAAGTGTAATTTCAAACCACTCATGATAACAATGTAAGATCATTTACGCCATTATTGAGCGAGCGAGCCGAAGGCGAGTGAAGCTCTTATACTTGACTTTGCAACTTCTTTGTCCGCGTTTTTCTTTTGCACCACTAAACCAATTCTCGTCAAATTTTGCATGCACATGCGTATGTACATCCAGATGGACATAGAAAAAAAAAATTTAAATCGGACTTGCCACGAACGAATAATCACCGAAAAAACTGATCCTAAAAAGTGAGGGTCCGAACACGCATATAAGGAAAATAAAAAAATGAATATTTCGGCAATTTGTTGACGTAGTATGGTTCCTAAGGCATTTAGAAACAAATTTCTGTTAGGGTCTGATGCGTTTTGATGCCTAATAAAGGCAGAAAATGAATTTTTGTCGAATTCGGTCCAAAACGGCACAGGTGGCGCCATCTAGCGGCGAGCGGCGGAACTACGAAAAACTAAAATTTCGATTTTCTCGAAAACTAGGCATTTTTCCGAAATTCTGAGATATACAAATTGTTCCGTGTCGCCTACGGAATCGAACGAATCTAATTATAGCCCGCCAGGACCATTATTAAAGAAAATAGAAAAATAGCCCATTCCATGGACTAAAAAATTGCCGTCCATCTAGCGGCGAAAGTTGGAACTACAAAAATAGAAAATCTCGATTTTCTCGAAAACTAGGCACTTTTTCGAAATTCTGAGATATACGAATTATTCCTTGTGACCTAAGGAATAGAACGAATCTAATTATAGCCCGTTAGGACCATTATTAAAGAAAATAGAAAAATATTCCAAAACATGGACTAAAAAATTGGCGTCCATCTAGCGGTGAAAGTTACTAAAAAATTGGCGTCCATATAGCGGTGAAAGTTGGAACTACGAAAACATAAAAAGAGCGATTTTCTCGAAAATTAGCGAACTTTGAGTACTTCTGAGGCCCAGAAAGTGCTATGTGATCGCATTAGATCCAAAATAAAGCAATAAAAGTATGCTGAAAGATTTAATAAAGAAAATGAAAAATATGTCATTTTATGGAGAAAAATTGTGGCGCCATCTAGCGGCGAAACTGCGAACTAAACTGAAAAAACGTATATTCGAACACGCGTTAAGGGGTGAAATGAAAATTGATTTTCTGGGCTTAACAGGCAAAAAAATTAATAACTTATTCAACAAAAATTGCTTTAAAATGTCTAAAGGAGCATACTACGTCGTCAAAGTTGCGAAATATTACTTTTTATATTTTTCCTTAACGCGTGTTCGGACATACGTTTTTTCAGTTTAGTTCGCAGTTTCGCCGCTAGATGGCGCCACAATTTTTCTCCATAAAATGACATATTTTTCATTTTCTATATTAAAGCTTTCAGGAAACTTTTATTGCATAATTTTGGATCCAATGCGATCGCATAGCACTTTCTGAGCCTCAGAAGTACTCAAAGTTC